AAAACTGGGCACGGTGACACAAGCCTGTAATCCCAGCACTGGGGAGACAGAGACACGAGGATCACTGTGAGTCTGAGCTGTGTAGCAAGACCCTGTACCAAATAAATACAAATAAAAATAATTAAAAAAAAATAAATAAATTTAAACTTACCACTGGTTGTCTTCGTGTCCCACGTTGGGCGCCACGTGTTGTACGTTATCAGTTGGAGGCAAAAGAAACGACAGGAAGACTGGATTAATATAGCCTCAAAGAAGGGCCGGCCAAATAACTCAGCAAATTAAAGCACCTGCAAGAAGGTACAGGGGCCAGGGGTTCAAACCCCCAGCTGGCCATGCCAATCCCACCCCTGGGGTGCACTGAGATGGCAACTGAGACTGCGTGCAGTGGCACACACCTATAATCCCAGCTCTTGGGAGGCTGTAAACAGGCGGCTCACTACAAGTCCGATCTAGTAGTAAGATCCTGAACACCCTGTAGACTCTTCCCTAAAATAACCCCCACCCCACCCCCCCCAAAAAAAATATATATATAGTCTCAGAGGTCTCACTGAGCTTAGTCTCTTTCTAAGTGAGCCCTGAGCCACCAAAACTTCTCACAGTTATTGAGGGGTACAAACAGGCTAAGGAATGTGAATGACTAGCTTGATATAAGCAAGCTATTATTTACATCCCCTACTGACATTCACCAAGCTCTAAGTTTACATATCACTGATTGGTAACTTCCCAGGTAAAGGAACATAGAGCAGACAGGGTGTTGCTTCCTGGAATCTGTTACCTTGTCTCCGGTTTGCTGGAGTTACAAGGGGCCAGTCTCCTCAGGCTCTGGGCTTTGTTCCTGGCTCCCTTAGGACAGTAATTTTCTGACTTATATCACTATAGGACAGCAAAAGTAGATTTGTGTGCACATTTTTTTTCGAAGTGCTGGGGTTGAATGCGGAACATGCTAGGCAAGTGTTCTACCCCTGAGGCTCATTCCAATGGCTGAAGAGGCTTTCTGTGATGGCAGTGGGCAGCACCAGATCTTTTAAAAAAAACCCATAAATCCATCAAGCTATGTAATAAGTTTTAATATTTAATAATAAGTTTTTCATATCACAAAATGAACAATGTCTCTTTCTATTCTTGTTTTAAAATAATGAAAGCATCAGTTACAATAATTTAAAATATATTTATCACATTAAATTGGACATTATGAATTACATTTATGAAGAATAACAAAGGAAGAATAAAGTTATATAGTATTTGAACAAAATATCTCAATTTTAATTTTAAAGCCTAATCACACAAAAAACTATTAGTACAGTAGCAACCCCCTCATTATACATCATTATCAGGGTGTCTCTGGTGTGCAGGACATCATATTTGCGTGTCACATGCCTGTAATCCAAGCACTTTGGGAAGTTGAGGCAGGATTGCAAGTTTTATTTTTACCTGGGCACTTAGAGAAAGCCTGTATCTGAATAAAATGGGCTGAGGATGTAACTCAGTGTAAAGCCTGGGAGTTCAATCTCTAGCTCTAAAAACCAAAAAAAGAATTCAGCTAAAATTATAATTCTTTTTAAAAAATATACATTACCATTGCCAGAGAGTTTTTTAAAGATAAACTTTGGCGATAAAATAATTAAAATTACTTTATAAGGCCATGCTAATAGGTTCTAAATGCGAAACAAAAATATGAAATGACGCTGGGCATAAAAATGAAGCAATTTCTTCCTGAATCTCTTCAGCCAACCTGTAGGGGCTGTATGAGGTCCAATGGGAAGGGCGTAGGATGAGAACCAGAGCTCTCCATTTCTCCTCCAGCGCATGCGCTAAATGAAGTGAGGCTAATGTCATTGAACTTCCAGGTCTCCATTTGGCTTATTGATTGATTCAGGAGTGCACACCTACTTCTATCTACTGTACCTGGTTTCCAAAGGTAGAGCCAAATTTCTCAAAGCTATCAAACATTTGTTGCTGATAATTTCATGAGCTGCAAAATATTTTTACTACTGTTCATATTTCTTTGCACACAAGCTGAATCTCCCCCAACCCAGCTACTTTGCATTTATTTATTTATTTATTTATTTTCATATTTTAGGGAAGGGTCTACAGAGTGTTCAGGGTCTCACTGCTAGATCAGACTCGTAGTTTAAAGCCTCCCAAGAGCTGGGATTACAAGTGTGTGCCACCACACCCAGTCTCAATTGCCCTCTCAGTGTACCCCAGGAGTGGGGCTGGCACAGGGATTGAACACTCCTGTCCCTGTGCCTGCTTGCAGGCACTTTAATCTGCTGAGCTATTTGGCCCTCAAGCTACTTTGCATTTTACCCCATGTACACACCCATATTGTGTGGGGAACAGAAATGTTCAAAACTCCTCACTGTCATAACTAAAGAGCAGACCTGCTCTGTCTGAGAAACTGATCACAGATCCCAGGCCAGACAGACACACATTGCAGGGGTCTGCTCCGTCTGTCCTGCAGGGAGCTGCCTCTTGAGGAAAAGCCATAGGGGTTCTGTTGACAGCGCAGTCTTCTAGAATTTTCAAACTTGTCCTCCCCGTGGGAGAGGCTGCCCTGGTGATTACAGATAGAGGGTCTGCAGCTTCTGCACAGGTGGACACGGGGGTGTTTTCAGAAGGATAGCTGCAGCTAGAAAGGCTGCTGAGCTCCTCCTGCACGTTGGCACTGTGCTTCAGCGTGGGGCACTGGTAGGCCTGGTAGGACACCCTGGTGGTGGTGGTGATCACAGTCTGCAGAGCTGGGCCACCTGCTGAGGGTGGCTCTTGGTACCGGCAAGAGAGCTCAGGGTTGTAATAAGGACATCTGGCCACAGCCTGGAGCTGTCTGTGGTCAGTTTTTTCCTCAAGGCCCAGGTTTTCAAGGCCTGGTTTCCAGCCACAGTGTTTACTGGTGAAATCAAAGCTGCTCTCATAGCTGCTGTAGGAATTGAGGTTATATTGCAGGGCATTCAGACGAAGCCAGTCTGCGTCATTCAGGATGCTGGTGGACTCTTTATAGAGGGCGGGAAATGGGCTTGGATTTGTGTATCTAGGGCCTGCCAAGTCATAGCTGCAAGGTGGTCTGGGCAAATAAATTTTGGGGTTTGGATATTTCTGGAAGGGGGAAGTGATGTCTCCTTGAAAGGTGGCCAGGTCACAGGGAGCTGCGTAAATGTCTGAGTTTGGGAAGGAAGGGCAGGCCTGCCCTGGACCACAGAAGCTGGTGTCTGGAATTATATTGAAGAGCTCTGGATTTCCCAGGAGTGATGTGTTGTTGAACTGTCCACTGCTGTCTGGATTCTCTCCTACCTAAAGAATGGTACAAAAACAGACAGAGGACATGCAAATGCTACAAGCATCCTCAAACATACCAACAGCCAGCCACGAAAATAACAAACTTCCAGCGGGTGGGCTCTGGGTTGCACACAGAGGCCTGCTACTACGGCACACGATCTTGACCTGTGGTCCAGAAGTTGCTAAGCTCGAGCTCTCTGAGTTGTGAATACCCCACTCTGAATGGGGAAGGCTCAGAACGGCCAGGAGGCATGGCTATGATGGCTAAGGGCTCTGTTCTGACCATAAGAGGGAAGCTTAGAAGCTACACAGAAGTGTTTTCAAATCTTGGCCCTGTCCTTCATTAAATAAGTGAATACTTTACTTTTGCTGGGCCTTAGATAGCTCATTTTAAATATGTGGCTTCAGTGTAGTGAAGAGAGGAGAGGAAGGGGCTGGGCTCCAATATCCGTTCCATGACTCTGCCCCCAATGCCCTAAAACTCTAACCAAGACCCACCTCCCTCTACCACTTCCAAACAGTGCCACTATTCAGATCATCAGATGTCTGAATGTCTTAGATTGGCATCTGACACACTCAGGTGCTCAGCAAGGTCAGTGTCTACCGAGCTCACACTAACACTGCCGGCCAGCCATGCTCTGGTGGAAAAGCACCACCATATGAAAATGCCCAGAGACATTTTATCTGCTCCTGTGCAGCAGCATTGCTATCGATTGGATCTGGAATGTCCCCAAAGGCCTAGGTGTTGGACGCTTGGTCCCCTGGAGGCACTATGGGAAGTGGTAGAGTGAGGTGGGTCTTTGTGAGAGTTTTAGGGCACTGGGGGCATAGCTGTGGAACGGATTTTGGAGCCCAGCCCCTTCCTCTCCCTTTTTCTCCTTTGCTTCTGACCATGAGATGAGCAGCTTCCTCTACCACACACTCCTGTCTGTTGTGCTGCCTCACTACAGGCCCGAGAGCAACAGGCCAGCCAGCTGTGGACTGCAACCTCTGAAACTGTGAGCTGAAATGAACCTTTTTTTTAAAGCTGGTTATCTCAGGCATTTTCTCACAGTAACAAAAAGCTGACAAAGCAAATGAGAAGGATCCCTTCCAGGATAATCCCTTTGCTCACTGTGGGTGCGCACAGACAGCTGTGATGGCAAGCCTGTTAGGGACAAGTGCCCAAACTGCAACCCAACACATTTATTTATCGCAAAGCGCCAGCACTGCAGTTCAACCTTAATGCTAGCATTTTAGTTTAGAAAAAAAAAAACAACTGTTACTCAGTGCTCAGCTTCTGGGGCAATGAGGCTTGTGAACTGACAGAGGGATCTGTGTGCCTGCTGTGCACATGCATCATGGGCTTGCCACCACAGACATAGTGATGTCCCGCTAGCTACAGCTGTGCTTTTTGAGGTTTTGATTACACATGGTGAACCAGTCCAAAAATAGGAAGTGGAAAATTCCAGGAATAAACAATTTATATCTTAAGTCATTAATCACAGTACATTTCTATAAGTGATTTTTAAATTAGTTATTGTTAATCTCTTGCTGTGCCTAGTTTATAAGTTAAATTTTATCAGAGGTATGCATAGGAAAAACATTGTATGTACAGAATTTGGTACCAGTTATCGTGCAGGCATTCATGGGGTGGGAGTTGAACTTAACCCCCCAGGATATGGGGAATCTACTGTCTTTCTTTTCCTTCCTTCCTTCCTTCCTTCCTTTTTTTGTGTGTTTAGGACAGGGTCTACAGGGTCTTACTACACAGATCGGACTTACAGTGATTCTCCTGTTTTCAGCCTACCAAGCACTGGGATTCCACCACGCCCAGTCTCAATCACGGCCTTAGCGGGCCCCAGGGGCAGGGCCGGCACTGCACCCCGGGGATCAAACCCTGGCTGCTGCGCTCTGCCTAAGCAGGCGCTTTAGTCTGCTGAGCTATCTGGCCAGCCCTTGTATTTCTTTCTTTATGAGCTGGATAATCACATTTGTATCAGCATAGCAGCACACATCCTAATTATATCAATTCCTGTAACCATTGTTTGCTTTATTTAAAGAAGAAATTAGACTCTATCCAAATATTCATTTAATGGATTTTTCCCAGAAGTATATAATTTTCACATAAAGTGAAACCTCTCTAGTTAATACGTACAACCTGGCATTTCAACCATTTCGCACTTCTATTACTTACAAGAGCATGGTGCGGTGAAAGTGAACACGGGTCGCGCGTGTCAGCCCTGCTTACCTCGGGCTCCCGAGCTCTCTTTTTCTGAGACTGGCAGAAAGGGGCCGTCTGCCTCTTGAGGGCACTTCTTCTAGCCTCTGTCTCGGATTTACTCTCTGGTCTTGGGTGATCATGAACCCCTTTGGCCTGGGTTAATGAAGAAATGAATGATCTCTTTGTTCCCCCAAAGGAAGCTGGCTATGTTGGTAGCTGGTCAAAACTCCCTCATGCCTGTCCCAAGATCCAAGATGTTTTATTTTAGCTTTGCAAAATGATAGAGAAAAAAAATTCTCAAAACACCATCACAAATAGACATCTTGGGGCTGGGGAGATGGCTCAGTAGAATAAGGGCTTGCCTGGCAAGCACAGGAGCCTGAGTTCAATCCCTGGATCCGCCAAATAAAACACAATCAAACAAGCACTAAATAGACATTTTAAAAAATGATGTGGGGTAGAGCCAGGGATAGAGCTCAGCAGCATAACACCTGCCCAACAAGCACCAGGTTGTGAGTTTGAGTCCTGGTACTAAGCCCCCATGAAACAAACAAAAAACTAGATGATTTGCAATAAGCTATTAAATGGATCATAGCTCAGCTCACTATATTGTGAGAATCTAGTGCGTCCCCAGGATGCACCCCCCTCCCCATGTTTCTGGCCATGGTGCTGCATGTGGGTTAGCCCAGGGGTCCCCAGTGGTGCCAGCACCCTTCCTACCTGAAAATATATCGCGCTACCATCGAGGCGCCAGAAATTGGTCACCGGGTATCCGCTGTGCCCTCGGCAAGGAATCAGCTCCAAAGCAGACTGACAGTTGGGGCAAACCTTCTCTGCAAACCCCAGACGCAGAAATATTAGCGACAAGGCAGGCAGGGAGGGAAGGTCGCTCAGGCCACCCTGCAGGGCCCACACGCACTCTGCTGCTTGAGCCGCGCCTTGTCGCAGATGGCCGGGCGCAGCTGCAGGCGAGAGCCATCAGGCAGGGCGCAGGCTCGGGTGCACAGCACCACGCCCAAGCACGACTTCTTGAGGATGTGGCCGTTGTGGTTGTTGGTGTTGCGCATGGCCCAGCCGCTCAGGTGCCGCTGCGCCTTCTTCTCCGCACTGCTGTAGATGAAGCGCACGTAGCCATCCGGCCACTCCTGGAAGGAGTCAAAGTGGGCTGGAGCCTGGGGAGAGGCAGAAGACGGGGACCACAAGCGTGCACGCTGCCTTTCTGACCACGGTAACTACTTGTTAATGTAGTGCTTACCTCTACGACACTGTACTGTATTCCTTCCCTGGCCTTCACCTCATGTGTGTCAAAAAGATAGAGTTGGCACGCCCATTTTACAGAACAGGAAGTGAAGGTCAGAGAAGGCTAGCACTGCCTGGCAGTGAGATTTCAGCCCCCACAGTCTAACTCCCGTACTGTGCTCCTTACCACTTCCTTATTCCACTATGTGTTGTGTTTAACCATTGGGCAAATTCTCCAATCATCAAGGTACCAGTGTGAAAAGCTAAAGCACTGAGCGTTGCTTTAGTACTCATATTCAAAGGTTTTTATTTTATGCACTACGTACACTGCAACAATGTCTTTTTCATCTATAAGTTCAAAATAAAATTACCCTGTAGTAAACTGTCACTATTTGCCAAGATAGCAGCTGGTTAGCCCGTGATCATTGGCCAAATCCATCCCATTCCTTGTTTTTGTGTGGCCTCCAACTAAGAATGGTTCTTATATTTTTAAATAGTTGGAAGAAAAATCAAAAGGAAGGTTCTGTTTTGTGATGCACGAAACTTGCATAGACTTCAAATGACTTTATCTATTACATTGGTTGGAACGTCCCCATACATGCTTGGGCCCTGGCGTGGAGAGCTGAGTATTTGGAACAGAGACAGTAAGGCTCGCCAAGCCATGCTATGCAGCAACTGCAAGCAGCACAAGGAAGCAGAGGCTGGATAGACAACCCGCTACAGTGGCGTAGGTGGGAATTCAAGGGAAGTTGTAGCAGCCAGATCGATTGGCTTGAGAGATATGATGCAGGGTTAGAAGAACATTACAATAATAGGAAACCACTTATAACTGTTTCCCCTCCTGTCCCAGAAAAATTAGACCAAATAGTTACAAAACTGAAGTACAATCAGTTGGACAATTCAGACTTGTGCACATTGTTAGCATTTTCTATCCTAAGAGTAATAATATTTCAGGGATGATTTTATTTCCCAAACTACAAGAATATCATTGAAATCATCATTATTATCAATAGGTACCAGTTTTCTTTAAAATCTTACAACTGACATAAAGCAATACACTGATTAAAGGTAAATCATGAATAAAATATATGAAATGTTATCATATATGATAATGTAAGTGTACTAAATGGATCATAACTCAGCTCACTACTTTGTGAGAATCTAGCACATCCCCAGGATGCACCTCCCTCCCCATGTTTCTGGCCATGGTGCTGCATGTGGGTTAGCCCAGGGGTCCCCAGTAGTGCCAGCACCCTTCCTACCTGAAAACATATCGTGCTACCATCAAGGTGCCAGTAACTGTAAGTTTGTTTTCCAAGCAAACATCTTTGTCGTAAATGTGACTATTTCAATTTAAGGATCTGAATAACAAATGAACATTTTTGCAGAAAAGGGAATGCTTTCGTGCTCCTGCTTAAGGCTGTGGACTAGGACCCTAGGTCATGCACCACCAGCTCCTAAGATTCGGCCACTGGAGATGAATCCACGGAAGCTGTCTTTTTAATGAAACAAGAGCAAAAATTTCCAAGATTGGGTTTCATTTGCTCTAGTATATCAACTGTGTGTGTTACAGAGAGAGAGAGAGAGAGAGAGAGAGAGAGAGAGAGAACAAGTGAAGACAAGAGACGAGACGAGATGAGCAGAGGAGAAGGCAGTCTATCTGGACAGGCCTCTGAGAGCACTATCCAGCTCCAGCACCTGATGACAGGTCGGTAGCGAGAGACCTAGGCACTTCCAAGTGTTCTCTCAAGGTTTCGCTCTTTCTCTCAGCCAGAGCAGGCCTGGAATGGTGGTTCCAATTTCTTTGTTTTTTTAAAAAATGCCATTGTTAGTTTTGAGACATTACTTACACTCTCTGACTAACAACCATTCTTCCAGGAAAAATAGTTCACCTTTACCAGGAAACCTAGAAGACTGTTGAGGGATGAGCCTTTTTCTAACTAAAAGGCAAGGTTAGATGATTTCTTGTGAGGGACCACCGGGCTAGAAGTCAGAGGGAGGCACGCACCCTTTTGCCACAGTGATTCCTTGCACTCAAAAGTAGGCAGACTTTAAAACCTGCAAAGGACACCAGTGTACCCGCTTGTATCCAAGAAAGTATCCAGGACCCTGCCGCTGTGAGAGGCCACCCAGGGCGCTAACGATCTGCCTTTCCTGCAAGAACTGGCCAGGCTGAGGGGCTGCCAGATCTCCCTTCAGGCCCGCACTAGGAGGGAACACCACTGGCTCGCCTGGAAAGCAACTTCGCTTCCCCCATCTACTCCTGGGACTTGCAAATCACCTTTTAGTTTTAATTAAAAGAAAAAATATGACCAAGTATGGCCGCCTCCTTCATTTCCTGCCCTTGGCACCCTTCCAAGCAAACCAAAACGAAACAAATTCACCCTGAAAGGGGGAGACTTCCTAGTCATTAAGAAGTGAGCGTTGAGCAGGCGCTGCCTCAGCAGGACTGCGAGCCCGCTGCATCCAGGCGGCAGAATGCTTGGGAAGAGATCGCTCCAGCGCACATACGCGTTTTACACTCGCGTCTCCTCCGTTTGCGGCCGTCTCACAGTTTGGCTGCTAAGAAGTAGTACTATTTGCAAGTTTTCCCTGACTTTTTCTTGGGTTTTAATTAAGTAGGCAACAGAGAAACATTTGATTTCTTCTTTAATGAAGGCACAGCGAAGGGAGAGGCATCGGACCTCACCTGACTACAGGAAGCAGGAGTCTGAGGTTCCCTTCTCTGCTTGCCGGGTGTTTTCGGAGAAGCGCAAAGAAATCGCCTGGCGCCGGCGGAGCTCTGAGCCCAGCCCAGCCTCTCCCAGCGCCCAGGAACTCCCTGCAAGGGCCTCAGAAGGCGCGCGCGTCCAGAGACTGGGCAACAACCTGTGCGCGTCCGTCCTCCGAGGCTCGGCCCCACTCACCTGGGGCATCTGCGGGTCGTTGATGTCCCAACTGAGAGCCATCCGGCGGGGACTCTCCGGATCCTGCGCGGCGTCGGCTGGCATCTGCGCAGCCTCGATCGCCCTCTGCCCGGGATCCTGAAAGACAGACCAGAAAGTAAGAGGTGTGCAAGGTAAAGAGGTGGCTTGTTTTCCTTTTGGGGAAGAAATTCGAGCGAGCGAGCGAGCGAGCGAGCGAGACAGACAGACAGACAGACAGAGACAGAGACAGACACAGAGACAAAGACAAAGACAAAGACAAAGATAAAGACAAAGACAGAAATCAGAAATCCAGAGGCTGCAGGTGGCGGAGCAGCAAGGCCCTGTCCTCTGTCGCGGTGCTGAACCGACTCCGCGGCCCTGGGCAGTTTTAGAGACTTGGACCCCCGCGGCCCCGCCCACGCCCTAGGAGACAGAGCGAATCGCAGCGGGAGGGGAGCCGAGCCCCAGAAGGGAAGTAAGCGAAGACTACTGATGGCAAGTTGGAAATTTCCATTTAAATTTGAATCCGCTTCCACACCAGCCTTGGTGGTTTGAACGGCGCTTGTTTGAGGCCCTCAAAGCAGGTGTTTTTTTTTTTTTTTTTTTTTTTTTTTTTTTTTTTTTTTTTCAGGTGAGCGTGGGGGCTACACGGGGTTTCCTCGCCCGCTGGGCGTCCAGGTCTCAGCATCCGTACCCCTATCTCCTCGTTTAGGGCAGATATGTCGCTGGGCTCCAGCTGCAGCTGTTGTGCGTGTCCCCAGGACTGTGGGAGACTGTTTGGGACACCCACGGGGGCACCAGCGTCCCGTGTTCTGCGGGCTCAGGTACATCCACGCTCCCGGGGTTGCGGAGAGACCTGACCCTCGGAAAGCCCTAGAAAGTGGAACAGGAGAGAGGGGTGAGATGAATTTGGGTTGGTGGAGAGGACGGGGCCAGTGAGCCCTACTAAGAGGAGCCTGGCGCGGTGGCGTAGGTATTTCCTGTACTGTAGAAGGCTGCGGCAGGAAGATCCCAAGGTTGAGCACATCCCTGGCAATTTAGCGATTTAGCCAGACTCTCTCAAAATTTAAAGGGGGAACCGGGGGACATAGCTCACTGGGAAGGCGATGAGTTCATTGTGCTGTGCCATAGGGGAAAAGGAAAACTGACCAACCATGGACTGTTTTCTGCTTTACCTGTGAAATAAGGGACTGGGGCTGAGAGCTCCCATGGCCACCCACATGAACATAGATCTTTTAAAAAGTCTTTATTGATATTGTCGTGGAACTAGAGGACCCTGGCGGGGATGCTGTGGCCTCTCCAGGACTGGGATTGAGCCTGCTCACCTGGGTATCAGCCTCTTGGGGTGACTCAGGCACCTGGGGCGCCTCATAGAAGAAGTCAATGGAAGTCACTAGAGTCGCTGTGCAGCCACCCCGGGGCTTCTGGAATTTAGTCCACGCTTGATTAGAAGCCAAAGATAGCCCTGGGGCCACTGTAGGGAAAGGAAGCTGCGAAGTCGGGTTCCTTCAACCCTGGGGCTGGCGCCGCGCGGGCTAAAGGGAGCACCCGCTTCTCCCACAGGCTGTGGAAGAGCCGGTAAGTTCTGGGCCGAGGACCTTGCAAAGGAAAGGCACGCCGACCTTCCCTACCAAGACACAACCTTAAGGCTGGTTTAGAAAACAGAGCCAGGCGCCAGAGGCTTCTGCAGACCGAGTGGCGTTTCAGCTGGAGTCAGCTCTTCTTCTTTTCTTCTTTTGGTTTTGGGTTGGGGCCTTCTTCCCCAGTGAAGGTTTGAAAAAACAGAACAAAACAAAACAAAACCCAACCAACCAACAAACCTTCATCGAGCACTTTCACTTAATCCAGTGTGTAAAGTCCTGTTGTTTTTGTCTTTGAAAATGGAAATATCCACTATTTTTGGTAAATTGATACTCTGTTAAATGTGATAACTTAAGCTAGTCTATATGTCTAAATGTTTTAAAAAGAACTTTGAAAATAGCCACTGAACATTATGTCTTAAGAATGCATAAAATTATTAGAGTAATTGACAGAGCATTTCTTGCTTCTATGCTTTGACATTTAGAGAAGCCCTACTCTTCAAAAATATAAATGAATATGTCTTTTTTAAAAAAATGTATTTTAGTACAGATCACTACAAGTCTTCCTCCTGTTTTCAGCCTCCCAAGAGCTGGGATTACAGGCCTGTGCCACCATGCCCAGTCTCAGGTGCCTTTTCAGCATGCCCTGGGGGCAGGCTGGCACAGCATGCCTGGGATCGAACCCTGGTCTCTGCACCTAGTCTACTGAGCTATCTGGCTGGCCCTTGTAACATCTTAATGTTACAGTCAAATTCATTTTCTTTCTTTCTTTCTTCCATTCTTCTTCTTCTTCTTCTTTTTTTTTTTTTAAATTGAGACAGGGTCTCTTTTGTAGTTCAGGCTGGCCTTGAACTCACTAAGTAGCCCAAAGTGACCTTGAACTCACAGCTGTCCTTCTATCTCAGGCTCCTGAGTGCTGGGATTACAGGTATGTGCCACCGGTCCTGGCAGTCAACTTAATTTCTGAATGGATTATGGTGTCAAAAATGTCATGGAGCTGCCACCATATTAATGTGTGAAGAATTAGAACATATATTCCAGGTTGTTCAAAAGGAATGTCAGGGCACTCAGTGGCCAGCATACGAGTAAAAGGAGTTAACCATAGTGACAATATACTACCTAAGTGAGTAGAGAGTGTTATTGTCTATTCTGTTGTTCTTGTTTTATTTTATTTTATTTTTTTCAAACTGGGGATTAAACTCAGGCCCTTGCGCTTGCCAGGGAAGTGCTTATTCTACTGAACAATCTCCCTGGCTCCTATTCTGTTATTCTTAATATCTCCTGAAGATTTCAATACATTTCCACCAGAATTTTGGAGGATGTATTTTCTTTCCCATCTGAAAATAATTGATTATAGAATTTTCAAACAAATCATATATATATATATATATATATATATAGTACCAGGGATTGAACACAGAACCTTCCTCTTGCCAGGCAAAACACTTATCCCACTGAGCTATCTCCCTGGCCCCAATTTATATATTCTTTAAAGTGTATTTAAGCTGTGTTTTGATTACTGCCTTTTATTTTGTGTTAGTTCTTTTCTGCCCTAATATTTGCATTGATTCCCAATATTTTAAATTCACGTTGTTCCTGTCTTGGTTACTACTTTAATAATCAGAAAAGCCCATTCAGAAAAAAAAGGAATAAGCCGCTGAATTTCCTAGGTGAAAAAAAAAAAATCCCTAGGTGCAGACTAAAATAGGTAAATGAACAAAAGTGCTGTGCTTTACCCGGAAATGGATTTGAGCGGTACTGACCGGAACCTTGCGGGGAAGCGGGTGGTGGGGTCCACAACTGCTGGGTTTCTGAAAGGGGAATTCTGTTAAATGTATTAACCTAACCTTATGTGAAGATCACAACACGAACGGGGCAAGTCAAGTTGTTCACAATATTTGGATCCGAGGAAACAAGAAAACTGCCGTCTAAATTTTTGCGTCGTGTCCACTTAGCTCACCAGTCTGAGACCAGGTAGCCACGAGCACAGGTAGGTTAGGAAAAATGGGCAAAAAACAGTCGATTGATTGGCTTTTTATTTTTTACATCCCCTCCCGCTGGTCAAAATATTAAGAAAAGAAAAAAAAAAAGAGGCAAAGAAAGAGAAACACTGTCTTCCGTGGTGTCGGGAGCGATGAATTGCAGGTGCAGGTCTAGCTGATCTACCCGGTTATGGAGGACAACCAGCTCCCGGGGTCTGTCCCTGGGAGAAAACCTCCGTGCTTGTGCACGGGACGCCCCTCGGTGTCCCTGGAGACGCTCGTCTCCATTTCTCGATTCCTCTCCGAGTGCCGCCCCGGGGCCGCCTTGCAGGCGCGCGTGTCTCGGGTCTCAGGCCCGGGCGGGTGAGGCGCAGGTTTCCTCGATCGGAGTTCTGCGCTAGGATTTTAAAAGCCTCCGCCACCTGCGCCCGCCCGGGCGGTCCCCAGCCGGCTGGGCTCGCGGGCGCGGAAGAGCGCAGCCGGGGCTCTGCGGGATGCGGGCGGTGAGCTGGCAGGCTCCCCCAAGGCGGGGACTGGGGGGGGGGGGGGGGGCTCGGGGCTCCGGGCGGGAGGGGGGTCGGGTGGCCGGCGGTGCGGGCCTTTGGGAGCGCTTCGGTCGCCCTCAGCTTCCTCAGTACTGGGGTAGTGGCTCAGAACTCCGCGCTCTCTCCAGTAAAGCGCTCCGGGAGCCAGGGCGTAGCGTCCGGAGGCAGGGGGCACCCGCTTCTTCCCGCGGGGCGCTGGGTGTCGCCCTAGCTCGCCCTTCCTCCCCGCAGCTACAAAGCGCGGGCCCTGACCTCCCCGGGCCCAGGTCTGCACTCCCAAGGGCTGAGAATTTCATTGAGAACTGCAGGGAAAAGGACAAGGGCCTTGGTACCTCCAGAGCTCCTGCCTTTCAGCTCTGAACTAGTATTCACGACCGTTCTGCTGCGGGAGGAAAAACGAGTGATGTTGGTTGGTGGTATTCACAATGTTTTTCTTATTACAAATGACCATATTGTCAAAGATACAGATTTAAGGGTTTTGGTGAAGTATGGACAGGCAGGATTGTTAGCCCAAATCACACAGAGTTTTAAAAATTTTTTGTATTACAATTTTAAACTAGGTGGTAGGATGATGTTATTTAGCATGGCAAAATCAGAAAGGTGGGTCAGAAAGCTTTCTTGAAGAAAATGCGTAATAACTCATCATTAGATTTTCTAGATGTTGCTTATGTGGTTGCGGATGTTTGATTATTGAACCTGTAGTATGTAAGTCCTAGAGTAATGTCTGAAATTATGTCATAAATACAAGAGTTAAACTCATGGCTGAGCTGGAAAAATATCTCTCTTGAGTTCTTAATCTGATCATGGTTTATTCAAAGCCTTCCTTCTGTTTTATAATCGCCAGCAGAGTTTAAATTTGTCTACTTAAGATGATCATATAGTCAAATGATGGTTAACGTGCTTCTTGACTGTATTACAGACTATGTCAAAGAAGCCTGGATAGAAGTGTAGGGTTCAGGGCTGGGGATGTAGCTCAGCAGCATAAATACCTACCTGGCAAGCCCAAGTCCCCAAGTTCAATCTCTGGGACCTTCCCCCAGGAGGGTTTGTTTGTTTTGCTTTTCTCTCTATCTTACTTAGATCTGTAATCAGTGGTATGGGCAAACAAAATTTTCTCTTCAAGAAAATAACAAACTTTAATTTGTTTTAGAAGTTAAAAAGCATTTCTTTGAAATAGTTTTTGACAAATAATCTTTTTATTGCATGCAGAAAAATGAAGATGGTTTGCAGTCTGTTAAGGAAGATGATGGCTTTGGGAAGACCCAAGGTGCTTTCTGGGTAAAGATCATTAATTTGTGTTCTTTTGATTTCTGTGCTCTTGGCAGGGAATCGGAGCATTGCTCCTCAGCAGCAGAGAAATCTTGTTGGTTCTTCCATAATTTCCTTCCCGTATTCAATATATTACTACACCTATTCAATTTTACCTCCAACCATCCTGCTAGTATCGTAGTCTGTCTTAATGCCCAGTGTTTTTCCAGGTGGAAGTAATACAGCAAAGCAGCCAGCTATCATTCCTGCACTTGTGGAAATTAGAGACTGGCAGTGAGCCAGAGACAGGTAAAGTAGGAGAGTAGGACAGAACAGGGTGCTGGCTAGAGAGTGATCAGAGTGCAGGAGGCACCTGGCCCAATTTTCTTAAGTGGTGCTGGAAGGCTCAGCTGAAAGGTCCTGTTCAGACCTCCACCGGCGGGCTGTGGGGAGCGCGGCGTAGGCACACAACTGCCAGTGTGAAGGCCCCAAGGCCAGGAGGACCTTGGCTCACTCAGGACTCACTAGTTGGAAGTCGAGCCTGAAGAAGTTGGCCAAGATCCTATCACTCAGACCCTTGCAGACTCAAGGGTTTGGGTTTATTCTGAGTGCAAGGGAAGCCATGGCAGAGTTTGCAGCAGGCATAGTGCTGGGTTTCTGAGTTAGAGAACACCAGAGGGTGGTGTCCCCAGTGCTGGTAAACTTTCCGGTCCTTGCTGTTCCTATGGAGGGAACGGATCTGCTTTCTTAGGGTGGTGGTGAGACTAACTGTGGCTACCTGTAGAGCACATGACACACTTGGCACCAGTGGCCCCACGATGTGGTGACAAATGATTCTGTTTACTTGAAGAAACTTCAAACTCTGCTCCCTCACTTAAATCACTAGTAAGAATGAGGGCCGGCCAGATAGCTCAGCAGATTAAAGCACCTCCTTAGGCTGATGCAGGGACTGGGGTTCGATCCCCGGCATGCTGTGCTGGCCCAACTCCGGGCCACACTGAGACTTCCATTGGGACTGGGCATGGTGGTGCGTACCTGTAATCCCAGCTCTTGGGAAGCTGAAACAGGAGGATCACTATGAGTCCAAGCTGTGTAGTGAGACACTATAGACCTTCTACTAAATACATAAAGTAAGAATGAATGAAATTATGAGGGTGTTTGGGCCTTTTTTTTTTTTACTGCATTAAATACAATAAAATAGTTTCTTATTAAAGTAGTATTATATCATTTAGCCCATAGGATTAGACTAGATTTATAAAAATCATGCCAGTTATCACATAGATATTTGAGAAATGTCTTGATCTAGTGAATAATATTTAAAAGTATATCTTGTCCAATGTTCAGACAGAAAAGGTCAGTTTTTTCATTGCAATCAGTTTTTGATGCATCTAAGTATTAGTTGTCTTCCTTCTAGTGTCATTTATGACAGTAAGCAATCACAGGCTTGGATTTTCTTAGTGTTGAGCAGCTTGCAAAATTGCTGAGTATCTTCATATGTTTATACCCAAATCAAGCACAATTTTCCTTACAGTGGTGGTTCCCGAGCTGTAGTAGGCATTGGGATGACCCATAAGCTCCACCAGACCCCACGGGCCACCAGTGTCACCACTGGTTCAGGAACTGCAGCCTCAGAACTGTCTGAAGCCAACAGACACCTTAGTCATTTACTGGTTATGGACAGTAAAAGAACTCTATTTTTTTTTAACCCTATATTATTTTGCACTGAGTTAGTACTGATAATTATATTAGTTAGAAATATTCTTAAAAATATTCTTGGGGAAAAAGAAGTAATTCACCAACTGTCACTTCTTCAGCTTCAGTCGCTTATCACTGATGCCTTCCATGGTAAAGGATTTCAGAAAATACAAGAATATCTTGAACAGAAAGAAAGCCACTTTCCTCAAAAATATGATCGTCTCCTATTACACCGTCTTGACAGATCAATAAATAAGGCAAGTGGGTTGGTTTTTTGGGAGACTAAAGGGAGACTGAAAATAATGTATGATGATTTGTAAGAGTTTTAATGTAGTCTGGTCTGATATCTAGGAACTGGATAAAAAGGCATTTCAGTATGTTTCACTGTTGTTGAAATGTATTCAGCGATTCTTCAAAGACCACCCCAGAGAAGATGAGCACTTGCTAATCCAGCAGGGACTGATCCCAAAGATAAGTGTCATACTTTAATTTTATGATTTTTGGGTAACTTAATGTGAGGGGCTGGGGTGTAGGTTTGGCTCATGTTCCAGGCTCTGGCTTTGATCCCCAGGACTTCAAAAACAAAACTACTGTGGACTAGATGGATGCATAAAGAATTATATCTATTAATATATAATTTTCAATCATATATTAAATGCATGTTTCCTAAGTATAGGCTGGTGGAATACCTTAAGGATGCCGGATTGAGGCAGGGACAACTCATCTCCTTGACAAGCAGTGGCATGTTTTAATTACATTACCATATTTGGCTGGGAAAGACAGGATAAGTAGGAGTAACTTCTGATAGTATCAACAAGATTAAACCTAGAAAAGAACCATTAAAACTTCCTTTTGCCTTTGTAATGCTATAATATCTCACTTTCTACATGTTGGATAGATCTGAAAAAACCAAAACTTTTGTTAAAGTCACATTAGAAGGTCTTTTTACTTTCTGAAATGAGCATGAGGTAATGTTCCAAACGCCTTCATTAAAGGAACCTGGGAGCAATGCAGCATCTGCAAAGTGTTTTGCTGCTCACATCTCCCTGGAGAGGCCTTTGCATTTGCTAGTGAGAAGGCAGGCCTGGCATGGAGGGCTGACCTGTTAGGATGAAGTCCTTGATGAACTAGCGAGACTCTAGCACCTGGAGTTTATCAAGACCAGTTTAGGCCAAGGAGATCTTGAGTTCAGTCCATCTCACTCCTGGGCTTCTAGTAATTATAGGTCTGACACTTGGAGAGAGAAAGAATCAATGTTAGCCTTGCCCAAGCTCAACTCCAGGACTCTAAAAGTATTTCTAGGGGACCCTAAAGATCGGCTTTCATGTCTGCATTTAGGTCAACTTGCCTCCTTGACACACTCACTCACGCAGTGACCGGAGGCAGGGGAGGGGGAGCAGGAACAAGCTCCATGGATTTTGAAATGGGGCATGATGACCTGAGGGTATTTGGCAATTAAGTTGATGTTGGGGGTATATGAATTGGATTATACCCCAACCTGGTTTTCCTATTTAGGGTTAAGAGTACTTCCCCAAGGTTTGACAATGTCAAGTCCCTACTGAAGTTCAAAATCAAAAAGAAGTTTCCATACTACAACCAAATTCTTGTTGGTGATGGGGATTTCATAACCACAATTAGGTGTCTTCTACAACACACTGTTATTTCATATAACTTTGGGGCAAGGAGAAAAGATCAATATTATGGAGAAAAAGATACTGACATGTGTACTTCATATAGCCAATTATTCACAGGTTAAATACAAAATAATTGGAAGTTATGCTTAAGTAAAAAAATTTCCCATGGAAAGGAATGAATTTAGCTTTGTAGGCTAAGGTCTGGGAGGATCAAGCAACTTGTCTCCACTGTTTTATTATTGTGTCATTTCTATTGTCTCCATCTTGTAATGACCCAGCAGTGGACAGCTGGGGTGCCTTTTGGATGACGTGTGATTGCAGCACATGGGAGGGCTCAAGGAACACTTCCTGTTCCCAGATATGGATCAACCATTGTGGCATTTCCCCCATTCTTCCACATGTATATGCAACCAATCCATGTGTGGGTGTGTTGGAGGGAGACAGGCTTAGAGATGGGATGTGGATTGGTGACAGTATTGAAAAGCAGAACATTTTAAGCATGAATACAAGGAAAAGAATATAGCTCTGGCCATGAGTTCCACAGGAAGAGATATTTATTTGTTTTTGGAAAAAAAGTTTGCTTCAGAAGGTAGATGATTTAATGCAAGTGTTTGTTATCAGATTTGGGCTAACAGCAACTATGATCGTAGCGTCATCACTGATGCATAAAGCACGTTACAGTCACCTGGGGAGGTTCAACACTGCCCAGGACGCAGCACAAAGGATTTGCACTCCGTGGGTCTGGGATTGCCCCAGGCACTGGGGGTTTTCATAGCTCCCCAAGGTTTCCTGATCAAGAATGGAGTGTTTATGTTCTTTAGTTGGGGGTCAAGAACAGACTGTTGTTTAGTCAGGGTTCTGTGGGTCCTGGGGTCCCATATGCCCTAAGTTTTGAAGGTCAAACCCTTATCAGAGTTGTTCACTGAAAGCTCCTGTCACTGACTTGAGTTAAATTGATGATTTCTAACTGTACATATAGGACTTTTCTTTCTCTTTTAAATGTATGTACATTTTTTTCTTGTATGTGTGACCAGTCTCAGCAAAGATGATCTGCTTTATTATGTATATTTTAGAAGGGTTTACAGAAGTGTATTTTATTTTTTTCCCATAATTTTTTTAGAAACAAATAGCAATGAGACAGTTTCAAACCAAATTGGTAAGACAGTTTCAATAATTAACAGACTGCATACATTCTTCCTAGTGGTTAGAAGTGTATTTTAAATTAAACAATTTTAGCTACTTACTATGAAGTTAGACAAATAAGTCCTACAGGATGAAAAATCCTCTAATTAACTGGAAGCTTTTGGCAGAAGGAAGTCTAGCCCAGGGTGTATTTACTGTAACCATAACTACCACAGGGATACTTTCTAAATTGTGTGTGTCCTTTGATATGTGTGTTTTTGACTGTCTCAAACCTACAAGATTTCCCCCTTGTACTGGGGTCATTTATCTTTCAAACTTTCCTCATTAGAGTGTGGCAGAACACACCTGAAACACCAGTGCCTATAAAACCAGGCTGAGGCAGGTGGAACTCGAGTTTAAGCCAGCCTGGGAAACAGACTTTATCACATAATAAAAAATAAAATCAAAAAACAAAACTTGTAGCTCAGTGTGAATACCCAAGGCCCAATCCCCAGTGCTGCAAAAGAAAACCAACAAACTTGCCTCGCTAGCTTCTTCATGTGGCTTTCTGGTAGCAGTTCTGCCTAAGCCTCTGTTTCTTGCTAGTACCTGAGAACAGAGGACAATTCTGGAGTGTGGGCTCCATTCTGGTGTTCTGTTGACAAGGGGCCTTAGAGTCGGGCCTAACTGAAATAGTGTGGAGAGGGGAAAAGCCCTTCGGGATTATTTTGCTCTAGGGAAAAACTTGTCCCGTGAAACTTTACTGAACGGGCAGTGATTCTACCAGTGTTTCTTCTCTTGTGTACATGGCTTCCTGGTTTGAAAGGACGACAAGCTTTCTGAGCACTGAAGCCCTAGCCTCGGGCACAGCACTGATGCAACTCGTAGAGGACTTCCTTGACTCCGCGCTGGTAAGGGCGGCCTGGCTCTGTGGAGCAGGTCAGCTGCTGTGATTCGTAAGGCTGGACTTTGGTTAAGATGTGAGTTCTGTTACAAGACTCCACGTGTTAAGAATATTATGTGAAATAATAAGCATGAATATATATATGTGTGTATGTATATATGTCCAATGTGATAGAAACATGAGCTAATTCATTTTTATACATATGCATATTATTATTCATTTGATAGTACACTTTTTTAATGAGATGATTGAAAGTCAAGCAGGCTTTCTCTGATTCTTCTGGATTTAAAGATTTTAACACTTTGCTACTATTGTGATTGTTCAAGCACTAATGACATAGCCTAGAATGCTGTTTTTAAAAATATGATTTGTACTTTTTCTTTTTTTCTTATTAGATTATTTCCAGCAGTAGTATTAAAGGTAAGTATTGACTATTACCTTCTTATTAATAGAATATTGTGGTGCAGATAAAAATATTTAAATGATAGTTAAGAGTAAGCAAGTTTATACATTTAGATTTACTGAATACTATGGTCGGTGATCTTGAATTGCATTGTATTGAAAAGAATGTCTCAGGTTGTCTGACTGCCTGTTTTCTTAGCTCTAGCCCGTTTTGGCTTCTGTCTTCCTTCAGGTAATAGAAAGGTGTTTTAGTCACTGAACTGGCAGAAGCCTAGTGCTCTGTTTTCGAGGTAGTTTGTCGCACAAAGTTTCTTGTGCTGTGGGCTTGGCCCCCAGGGCAGCTGTGTGAGAAGAGGTGGGTCTCTGACGCAGGGCCTAGGACAAAGTAAACAGCTGCTATGAAGGGATTAGTGCCAGGATTCCGGAGACCAGACTCGGTTCCCACAGGAGTAGGCCACTGTGGAGTTCCCTGTCCCATCTTGTTCTCTTGCTTCCTGTCTGGTCATGTGACCTCCTCTGTAGTGTGCTCTACCATGGTGATACCTCGGCCACCAGGCCTCTCCAGTACAGGTGGAGGATGGTGCCTTCTTGTCTCTTCCTTCTCAGTGCTTATTAGTTCTACAGGATTGCAGGTTTCATTTTGGCATATTTACATAGTTTCTGGTATTAGAGGTTGGATTTTTTCTTCATTCAGTATGATGTTGACTGTGGATTTGTCTTGTACAGGTTTTATCATATTGAGGTAAAATCCTTCTGTACATATTTTTATCATGAAGAAATGTTAAATTGCATCAAAGGCTTTATCTGCAACTATTGAGATTATGTGATCCCCCCCCCCATTCTGTTTCTGGTGTATTGCATTGACTGATTTTTGTGTATTGAACAGTCTTGGGTCTCTGGAATTAAATCAACTTGGTCATGGTTTGTAATCTTTTTAATGCTTTGTTGCATTCTTTTTGTAAGAATTTTGAGGATATTTGCATAGATGTTTATCAGAAATATTAATGTGTAGTTTTCTTTGTGGAATCTATATTGAATTTTGAGATCAGAGTCTTACTGACTTTATAGAATGAATTTGGAATGTTTTTCTATCTTATTGAATAGGTTGAAGAGCATTAATTTTTTTTTCTTTTTTCAAGTTCTGGTAAAACTTGAAAACCAAGTAAATCTGCCCAGTCTTATGCTTTATTTATTTATTTATTTATTTTCAGAACCGGGGATTGAACTCAGGCCCTTGTACTTGCCAGGGAAGCACTTATTCCACTGAGCCATCTCCCCAACCCTATGCTTTATTTATTGAGAGACTTTTTATTTCCCCTTTGATATCATTGTTTAGTATACATCTAGAAATTCACTTCTTCTAGATTTTCCAATTTATTGGGATGTTTTAAAAATAGTGGTAACAATTCTCTGAATTTCAGTGTTATATGTTTGTCTTGTTGCTGAGACAAAGGACCCAACATCCAAAGCTAACAGGGGAAAGGTCTATTTAACTCACAGTCTGTAGAGGTTTCAGGCCATAAATGGCAGTTCCAAGCTCCAAGGCAGGGTGGACAGCAGAGGGGCATCACAGGGGAGACACTGTTCATAGGAAGCACAAGGCAAGGAGTGCGCATGCGCGCACATGTACACACACACACACACACACAAGCAAGGGACAACCACAGCTCTTTCAAGTCCTTGTATCTTATCCAGGCTACTTAGAGCGGTAGCACTCATACCCTAGCCTTGCACCACAAAGCAATCCCAGCATCAAATGCTCTAGATCCAGCCACCTCTGAAAAAGCCCCACCTGTGACCTCATGAGTCTTTAGGGGACATCTAGACACAAGTCACACCAATGTTCTAACATCACCTTTTTGTATCTAGTTTTATTAATGTGGACCTTCTTTTTCTGATTGGTTTGAGTAAATGTTTGTTATCAATGTAGAAAAAATAGTTATAAAATTGCCTCTTGGGAATGCCTGCTTAGATTCTGGTATGTTGCATTCCCATTATCATTTGAGGAAAATTTTGAATGCTGAGGTACCTGGATGTCCATTTTTTCTCCCAATTTGGGAAATTTTCTTTTTCATTGAGTAGATTTTCTGTGCCCCTCTTATAGTACAAAAACTTACATTTGGTTTGTAAAATCTATCCTTGAGGTTTTGTATATTTTTGTAATTTCTTATTTATTGCTGTCTGAATTTAACAATTGATCTACTTTATCTTCAAGTCTTGAGATCGTGGCTCTGCTTGATCAAGCTTGCCAATTATATTTTCTACTGAATTTTTAAAATGTATTTGGTACAGGGTCTCACTACGCAGCTCAGACTCAATGATCCTCCTGCTTTCAGCCTCTCCAGTGCAAGGATTTCAGCCATGCACCATCATGCGGGGGCTCGGTTGCTGGCTCAGTGCATCCGGGAACAGGGCCAACATCCACTGAATTTTTAATTTGGCCTATTGAGCTTTTCATTTTTTAAAATTTTTTACTCATTTTAATGGGAAAAAAGATAAAATAGCAATGAAACAGTTTCACAACAGGTTAGCATGACAGTTACGATAAATAATACATTGGATGTTATTTTCTTCATAGTGGTTATTCTGGGGGCCTGCCCCTTAGCTCAGTTCTTTAAGTGGCTGCTTCACCAAAGCAGTCAGGCTCAGGTTGCTGTGGTTCGATCCCCACAACTCAAGCGAGCCAAACCTGCCCTGAAGGCATTTGGAGCAAAATAGCGAGGGACTTGTGCAGTTTGAATGAGTATGGGCTCACTGTGTTAGAGTCCTTCATATGCTTTAATGTGTACTAAAGCATTTCTGCTGTTGCTATGGAGCTAAGTTTCTGGAAGCACGACCTCACTAAATCTGGGTATACAGGTATTTCTTTCATAGGGGGACTTCATTTCCTTCAGATGCGTGCGTGTGCATGCACACTCAGAGTGTGACAGCTGGATCCTGTGGTGATTCTCTTTTTAGGAGTGGCTGTACTAATTTACATTCCCATCAACAATATGTATATATTTTTCTCTATTTTCGCACCAGCATTTTTTAAAAAAAATGTATATGGTCTCACTACGCAGCTCAGACTTGTAGTGATCCTCCTGTTTTCAGCCTCCTCAGCACTGGGACTCACCAGCATTTTTGTTTTTCTTTTTTTTATAATATTCAATCTGAGGAGGGTGAGATGAAATCGCAATGTAGTTTTGGTTTGCATTTCCTTGATGGCTAAAACTATTGAGTAGTTTTTTCTTATATTTATTTAGTATTTGTACTTCTTTTGAGGAGGGCCTATTCAGGACATTGGTTCATGTTTACTGACTTGAGTTCATTTTTTATTTTTCAAAAAGAAATTGTTCTCTGAGCTCTGAAATAAAAACACATGTTTGATCTAGTCAAGATGCATGACAGGATCAGTCAGTGCTGTGGAACAGCGCATCTGTATCCTAATGAAGGGGCAGGTAGAAAGCGTGGAGGCTGCTGGGATGTTACGGCCCCTCTTATTTTCTTTTCTGTTGCATTTTTGCTGTTTGCTTTCCTATGTGTCTTTTTCTTGTCTATTTTTCTTCCTGAGTTTTGACAGAGGTTCTTTTTTTTTCATAATTTTGTTGATAAACAAATAGCAATGAGACAGTTTCAAATCAAATTGGAAGGACAGTTTCAATAATTAACACATTGCATACATTCTTTCTAGTGGTTCATTGCTGTACAAGATGTGGGCATGAGATCCTATTTACAAACACCATT